GTGGTGCCACCAATTCCAAGAAAGAGAATGCTAGCAAAAATACTCGTACGTACAATGTATACCAAGTCAAATTAAATATGGTAAATATCAAAAATATATATGACAATATTTGCTAATTTCTTGTATATTCATTAATCTTTAAAATGAAATATATAAGAGTCACAATTAATATTATATATGCACTTCATCAATGTGAGACAGCAAACTATTATTTACACTTTTAACTAATATATAACTCGCAACATGTATGTGATAAATTTTTAAGTTTAGCATTGATATTGTTTTCAATTTAATTATCTATTGTATGTGTGAGATTTTATCACAAATGATCTCAGTGTACATTAGGTGTGACCTCTCACGTTGATCATTTTATGGACCCTGCATGGTTCGGGAATGAAGAAGAATTTTACATGATTGAATAATTAATTTAGATTTTCCAAGATTAGTGTTAGTTACACTATCTTTTTTATCTCTCACACACCATTATTAACTTTGTCTATTGATCTTTTTCAAATCATTGGATCTAACAGCAAAAAATTGAGAGGGTATGTAAGAGGCCCTTGCTTAAAAAGTTGATGGTTTTTTTTGAGGGGCTAAAATGGTTAACGAATTGCCAATTAATACAACGGTCTACTGGTATTCTTTTTCACTTGTAAGTGAGAGGTTTTAGGTTTGATTCTCATCAAAGACGAATTTGAACTACATTATTGCTAGTTCATTATAAATCTAAACTCATCTTCCTCTCCCTTAACATAAATAAGATCGTTTGTTAAAAAAAATAAAAAAAATAAAATAATGCATTTGGCTTCAACCTAGACTTTTTAGTCCAATAAACTTTCATTCGTTGTACCACCTCAATAAGCTTTTCCACACTTAAAAGCTATCCTAAAAGAGAGACTTAGGTGAATTTATTCCATATTGTATATCTTGGATTGAGTTTTTACAACATCAAATATTGTTCGCCTTGGAATATCCACCATCCAAATCAAATCACTGAAACACATCAAGAAGCAATGCCGAACCAAAGATTGTTCACTTTGATACCATTACACTTTAGATTAAAAACCTTCAAATTCAAATCACTTAACCTATTGACTTATTAATGGAAGAAGAGCATCTCAAATTCAAATCACTTAACCTACTGACTTATTAATGGAAGAAGAGCATCATATGATTTCTCAACTAAACATCAACGGACAGCATCTGGCGGTGCTGGAACAAACTGGCTGTGTAATCCACTTCTGGTGGGTGAAGGTGGCTTTGGCAGGTTGTTTGGTCTCAGGTTGCGTCGGATGGGCAATATTATAGTAGTTGTCTTGATAAACATATTTTGACATCCAAAGCAACCTTCTTTTGTGACCTTTCTCGTGCCATCTTTATTGTCAACATGCGATATCAAACTATAATGGGGATCACCACCTTCAACCACACAACAAAATCACACCAAGCAAGCAAGAAACTAATTGTTACCAGATGATCCAGTCGAGAAAATAGCGAAGCATAAAAAGAAATAACCATGAGAAGTGGAAGATAATATTATTTACCATGAGGAACTAATGCACAAGTTGCTCGGAGATCCGCCAAAAGAAGAAGCATTAGTGCTGCAATTACCACCAACTTTCCTGGGAAACCATTCTTCATCACTGGAAGCCAAAACGATAACTTAGAAAAAGTCCATTGCGGAACGCAGGGAGAAGCAAAGATTTTAATAGACTTTGGATGGTTGGTTGGGATGAAGAAGAATTCCATACTTTAATATTTTCAATAGTTGACGAATTTGTCTTTCACACTTGCAAGGATATCCTAAAAGAGGACTGATCATGTGGAACCTTATTAGTCTTGGATTTGACTATTTACAAGTAGGATTTTTTTTTGATCTGTCATACGAACTTATACATTTTTTTAGTTTGTCATATGACCTAAACATTAAGTGATTTGTCATATCAACTTGCAAAATTATTATTTGTCATCTTACCTTAACTTTATTAAGTTTCCAACCAAAATAATTCATGTGCAGCGTACATGACTTGTGTTCAAGGTTATTTCAGACATTTCAACATCTTACTCTCCTTGTAATAAATTGCCTTTGAGGAAAATAATTCTAGGATCTGAGGGTTTGCCATTCAGAAAAGGGAACGACCTGGAGTCACTTCTCTTGTGTTTCAAAGTGAAGTTGACTAAAAAAAATAGTCATTACAAAGCCTCCAATCTATGGTGAGTTAGATGATATTTTAATGTTGAAATGTTAGAAATAACCCTGAACACAAATCATGTGCAAAGCATGTGACTTATTTTAGATGGAAAACTTGAAGGAGTTCGGATGAGATAACAAATTAATGATTTTAGAAAGTTGATATGACAATTCACTTAAAATTTTTTTATATGACAAATTGAAATTGAAAAAAAATGTATAAGTTCATGTGACATTTTAAAAATGTTCCCTTACAAATATTAAATTTTAATTTTTTAGGAGCGGAATTAATCATGATATTAAATGACTCTCTGAAATTCTAAAAGTATCCAATCTTGATTTTAACAGAGTACATGAAAAACTCACATAAATATGAATGTATTCAATTAGAACTTAAAAGAATTTATAAAGTATATGTGTATTCAATTAGGAATTAGGCTCTGTTTGGAAACAAGTGCATAAAATGAGAAAAATATCTCTCAATGACTCTGTCGCTCTACATCTCAAAAAACATGTACCTAATGTAGCAGGCGGCAGCTCTTCCCCTTCTCCTCCTAGCTCTTCATCTCTTCCCCATCTCGCCCAGCCTTCCCTCCCCTTTGTGAGATGAAAGGATCCGGAGAGGTTCCCTTTCCCTCATCGAAGTCTTTGGAGTCCTTGTGCAATGCATTTAGCCACCTATATAAATGCGAATAACAGTATCAAAAACTTGACTTAGAAGTAGTGGGGTTTGCAGAAGAAGAATTACCTGCAATTCTGTTTCTGTTTGGACTTTGAAAAGGTTGACTTTAGTCTTCCACCTTTGGATCATGGATTCTTTTCCCCCAATTAGGGGTTGGCCTAAAGCCAATAATTTTTAGTCCATAAAATTTAGGTTTTAACCTATAAACAGCTTTTCTGCTCTAATCTTTCTAGCCTAAAATTTTAGCCCCAGATTATTAACGAATGAATTTAGACTAATTTTTTTTTTCTTAAATTAACTTTTTAAAAATAAAAAATTATGTAGACTATCCTAATTTAATTTTATGAACATTTTAACCTAAAAATGTTTAGATTCTGACAAATAATGAAAAAATCACTAACCGACACCATGAAACTCGTTAAACACTATGAAAAAATATGAAACAAATGAAAAAAAAAATAAAAAATAAATACTTTAGCCGTTAGATTGGGTAAAATGCTTTATCAATTTACGTTATAGGGAATTTGTGTATTATGGTCTGTGAGTTTTATTGCTCATCGTTTGTTCTTTTTTCTTTGTTTGCCGGTTTCTTTTGCAGGGGATCACTATAAAATTGCTTGAGGGTAAGATTTAGATGACAAAATTCGAAACGAGGCGTTACTTTTCTTTTTGGAAACTAATTTAAAAGTTCTGCATAGATAGTTTATTGTGTTAAAATGTCTTGATAAAACCTGAACCTTTTGTTATATGTGAATGTTCATTCCTTACTACAAATATAATAGGCATAGTGGTCTAAAAAATTAAAAGGAAAACTAATGAAAATGACTTGAAAACTTTGAGTTTTAATGATAAGGACAAAATAAAGGATAAAGTGAATAGTACTATGATTGATTTTTTATTGTAAAAATGTGGTTTCTCGTTAAAGTGAACAGTACCGTGGATTTTTCGTTAAAACTCCCAAAATTAAAACCCACTGACACATGACATCAGAAATTCAAACCAATTTCTACTGTTACCATTACCTTCTTTAATTCAGATCATCAGCATGTAGTTCAAATCTAGATCAAACCCTAGATGAAATTCAGGTGACATTATTTATTGTCATTGTTTCAATAACTTTCATTGTTTTAGTACCCAGGTTTACAACATGAGTTGAAGATCCAAGATCATTTTGGCAGAGACTTAGATATTGAAGACACTAATTTTGCTCCTCATTTTGTAGTCTAATGTCCAACTTTTTACATGTTTTATACACTTATAACACCTGCAACAACGCGCGGGCACTATGACTAGTGTTGGTCTGGTCTAAAGGCTTATGATGAATAAAGCTGTCGATTTTGAAAATTTTGCTTTTGTCACCTTTTTCAATAAGGAGTCTCGTTGTCTCTCTATCTTGAACCTTTACAAGGGAAAAGTAAGATGAATGAAGATAATTAGATATTGCAGATTTGAATTATGTCAGTTGGTCAAGATAATGTGCATCATTGTTTTATTCAAAAAAAGTATACGCAATATGAAGATGGATAAATCCAAAATTCATCGTCAAAATTGGGCACCAAACCATTGAAGAATACAAGTTATATATTTTGAGATGGATTCTTCCACTCGAATTACCTAGCTAATAATCAAATAAAAATGAGGACACAGGCCAACAATACATCTCAAACCTACTACTGCAACCACTAAAATAAACATCTAATTGCAATGAATTTATATTGTAATAATCCGATATACATCAATGTTTATTCAATTAGGCAAAAATTCAAATAGGAAAAAAGATGAAAAACAAGGATTAGCACCAATAAACTTCCTAATGTAAGCACAGGGCAGCATGATCTTCTTCCGAGCTTCGAGATTTGGAGGAATATCACCCGAGCTGTACGTGTAAGAGCAACGGAGCTATCTTCTATTGACTCCCAAGGCCAAATATTGGACTTGCAATGAGGCAACAAGTTGAAACAATAAATTTCAAAGGAATGATCAACAAACATAGACAAAATTATAAGCGTAGATAGCCATCATCATGCAATAAGTGGAGGAGGTGCATAGCCACGGTGTGATTTATGTGGATTTTTAAGGGAGGATGTAACGATTTTTCTCAGGCTACGCTGGGTGGGCACAGTTTTCTTGCTAACAATCTTGCTTAGACATCCAAAGCTACCTTCTTTTCTCCAAATTATCTTTCTCAAGCCACCTCTTCAGTCAACACTCAATAAAGTACCCTTCTCAGCACCTTCACCCACATGAAATCACATCAAGAAATGTTAATAGCAAGAAAGTTCGATCCCTGAAAACTTTGATATATTCAAGCCAAAATAGTAAGTAAATATGTAAATACGTATCTGATCACAGAAGGAAGATAACATTACCATGAAGAAGTACTACTGATGAAGAAGTTGCAGGAAAAACACCAAGAAGAAGATATACCGTTACAACAGCTGAAACCAACTTTGCCAGAAAACTGCTCATCTTGGAAAGCAAGAACTTATAAAAGCAAGACTTATAGATCTGAGCTAAGTAGTCTTTAAAATATATATATAGGTGTGTGTGTGTGTGTGTACTCGTCTATGTTTCTACTTTTACCCCCTCAATTAAGTTAAGTGCTTTTTAGAAACGTTGAAATTGTTCAAAAAATGAAGATTAGTAGGGAAATTTACAGCAAATGACTTGGAACTTATATGGGATTTTTAATTCTTACTTCCAACAAAATGTGCTTTAAAGCCCGCTACGAATTGTTTGAAACTGAGGATTGACCAAATCATTGAAATGTCATTTTAAAACTACAACATCGCGGCTGCGATGTCAGCTCTCTGAAAAATTTCACGACCGTACGTAATTCATGTTCTCCCCTCTATTGGGCCCAAATTAATGTGCACCTAAGTCCAACAAAAAAATTATTTACTAAAAATGTCTAAAATGAAATAAAATTTGTAAGTTACGCCTAACCTAGTGTGTGCGATTTTAAATTTATAAATTGCGTTTAGCATTCGGGTTTGTAAGTTGTGCGTGATTAAAAAAAGCCTTTCACACGCATGACGAAAAGCTAATTAATTAATTAAAGCTAAGAGTTCACCATTTATATATTCTTATAATACAAAGTTGACGTAACAAAGGGATATGAACTATCAACTATGAAGCTGTCCACTACCACATTTTTAGAATCCTAAACTAGATTGGAGACTGAACAACTTTTAAACTAATTAGGATGGTATTTTGATTAGTTTGAAAATAACCTAGATCCCCTCTTATCTGGAGTTATTTCCTAAAACAAGTAGGATTACAATTGAATTCTTCCGTCCCCGATATATATTTGTTAGCCGATCCACACAACTATAAAACCCTAGTTTACACAATTCTTCTGAATAGAGATACAATTGCTCATTTAACAGCTGCTTGTCGAGTACAGCCATGGCAGTCAAAGGGATTGAAGGGATTGAAGTCCATCACGAAAAGTGTCGCTTGGACTTTTACATTACACCGCTTGACTACAACAACGTAGGTGGCTACGAGCCTTCCTCGCCGTCGGTTCAGTATGTGGTGAAGTTTGACTACCATGTCAACCACGCATACTTCGACGTTCATTCCTCGGCCGATATTGGAACCCGTCGTCGAACCCTAATCGACCAGTATCATGAACAAGAGGAGAAACCAGTCAAATTTGACCGAACGGAATTAAAGAGCTCTGACGAGGAGCTTCTTTCGGATGCGGTTTTGTCATTTGGAATCGAAAGATCAGGTGAGCATGGTGAGTTGCACAATGATATAATGGATATGATTATGAAGCGGGGTTGCGAAACTGAGCAACATAAGATTTGGATCAAGGATGTAGAAGTATCGGGGTTGTACGTTTATGTAGGAAAATCCCATGACATGTATCGGTGTGGGGAGTGTAAGCTGAAGAGGAGTTTGGAGGAAGCAATAGTGGTGGTTAAAGAGAGAATAAGGAAGAGAGATGTAATTAGGGCGTGTGATGATGTGAAGGAGGAGGAGGAGGGTATCAATCCGACGAACAAAGAAAAAGATGGAGGAGATCCGGCCAAAAAAGACAAGGAAGGTAGAGCGAGAAAAAGAAGAAGAAGAAATAATTACTACAAACCTTCTCGCAAGAGAAATATTAGGGTAAAGTGATACGATGTGAAGGAGAGCTTGCGCACATGTGTTTCAATGTTAAGTGTTTAGTGTGCCTATCGATTGAAATCTCTGCTTAATACAATTTTTTTCTTTTTAGTCATAAACTACAAGAAGAAGTGTGTCTACGACAAATCTAAACAACAGAGAAAGTAAGAGACTGATAAACATGTCGATTGAGTCTTGTATTTTCATGCCCTTTTGCTTTTCAATTATATATATTGGTCATTTTGCTTGAATATTATGGCTTAATTTTGTGTTCTTAATTTCTTGGTTGGTTGGTTGGTTTGTTCCATTAATTCTGATAATATACAGTTTTTCTTTTAGCTCTTAGTTTAACTTGATATTATTTATTCAAAACGTTCAAAAACTGTGAAGTACATAATATGAAAACACTCGATATGGATATCCAATTTTGCAGGTTTGAATAATTGAGAGATAACATGAAAACACTGAATAAGGATATTCAATTTTGTTTAACATAAGAAACCCAATTTTTTTCAGCTCCCGTAGGAAAACGAAAAAACTGACTAAATTAACAAATAAAACCCAGCTCTAAGTAGCTTGTACAAAGACTCCCAAGTCCAATACAATGTAAAACTAGGCCGATAACTTACAACACAACACTAAATTCTAATGGCCCATTCCTGGTCTTGGATTTCTATCAGGTGAAGATGGCTTCGACCCAGTCATTGGCCTAAGGCTGCGGCGAACGGGTATTACTTTATTGCCCAAAATATCACTTTGATATTCAAAGCAACCGTCTTCAACCATATGAGCAAATCACAAGCAAGAAATTAGTTACCAAATAAAATCAAGGCATTAATTTGGTGAAGGATATTTAAATTTAATTAAACTAAAGTCAATTAAAGTTTCCAATACTTAGAGATCTCAAAAATAAGGAAGATAATTATTAATTACCGTGAGGAAGAAGTCCACAAGTTGCTAGGTGATCCCCCATAAGAAGCAACACTAATGTTGCAATGACCACCAGGTTTGCTGAAGAACCATTCATCATTGGAAGCAGAAACAATAACTTCGGAAATCCTGTCACCGAAACGTTAATAACGATGATATTTATAGACTTTAACTTGCAGAGGTTCGGAAGAGAATTACATGCTGTTAACTTTCAAAAGGTTGATCTTTAAGTCTTCCATTCTTTTCTTCCCATATTTAGCTTTCATTTATTCTAAGTCTTCCATTCTTTTCATACGTTCATTGAAGGTAGTGTACATTTTAATTCTTTAAAAATTTAATGTCACTCAAACTAAAACTTGATTACATAAAAGAATCTCACTTATCATGCTCCTCAATTTAGTGCAACCAATATGCGTTGTAACAACTAACTTTTCACTGACTCACAAATCCACTAAGGGGCGTTTGGTGGGATGGCTGGCAAGGACAGGTTGTAAACATTTAAAATGGGTTCTTACCACACCTCTTAACTTTTGGTCATTAGACTAAATAAATCAAATAAAGACAACGAACATAATTAAATAAGTGTGTGAAAGGCTATAAAAGGAGTGTATGTTTATTATTTATTTTCCTTAATTATCATGAGGAAGTAATATACATGTTGTTCAAAAATCTTGCACAAGAAGTAATAGTACTAGTGCTGCAATTACCACCGACAACTTAGCCGGAAAACCACCCACTTCCGGTAGCTAGCAGAAAAAGTAACTTTGAAAATCCTATCACCAGTGCACTGGTGTGAGAAGTCACTTGTCACAAGTCTACTAAAATATGAGAGACATCTCTGGACGAATAAATCATCACTTGCATTAGGTGCTTCATTGTATTTTATTTTATTTTCCTCGACTAAAAATTTCACGTTTCATGTCCCAGCTTATATAAAATAAAAATAAAAACCATTTCGGAAATGAATCAGATTGTTTTGCCATATTTCAATTTAATTAACGTAATCCGAATGTTAAAAAGTGGGGTAAATTACATTTTAGCCCCTCAGGTTTGGAGTGGATTTCAATTATTTACACATTTTTAAAACATTTCAATTTCATACATTTACTTATCATTTTATTTCAATTTCATACATCCGTTAGAAAATCTGTTAACCGTTAAGTGATGATGTGGTAAATATGAGATCCATATTTGTACTGACGTGGCTGTCAAATTTGTATCATGTGGCAAAAAAATAATTTTTTATGCATTTAAAATCTAATAATAATAATTTACCCTATTAAAAAATAACAAAAATTAAAAATACACAAAACTCATCTTCCTTCCCCGAGCCCTTTCTCCTCTGCACCCCACCCCTTTTCTCCTCTTCACACCCGCTGCAAGCTCGACTCCCTCCACGGCGACGGCCTCTCAAATATCTCGTCTTTCGGAAACCTAGGTTTGCCGTCTGTGGCCCAATCGGCCGGTTCTCAGTCGACGTCATGATCGTGCTCGCCTAGACCTGGGTTTCGAAATCCATGAAATTTCTGGAGCATTGTTGTCGACAAAGGCGTCCACGAGAACCCTAGCGAGGAATTTGGAATTTTGGGTTAGAGAAGGAGGTGCAGAATTAATGGGGGAAGGAGTGGGTGATGGGAGATGGAAGAAGGGGGTGGGCTAGGGTGGGGAGGATGAAGATTGGGAATTTTGGTTTTTTTTTTTTTTTTCAGCCACCTTCATCCCTTCCTTTCATCGAACACCTTCTCTTCATCTCTTCGTCTTCCTTCTTCTTCTGATAATTTCCGTTTCAGTATATTTTTTATTTATTTAGATGTGATTGTTTCTTTTCGGTACTTTGCAGATGCTATCGAGCATATTAAAGTCGGCTATTTCTACCAAACTGACCAGTCTAAGCTCCATGGAAGAACTCAGGGCCGTACGGATGGTCATGGTACTATTTCATATTTTCATAACCATAAAACCCACTAATCATTTTTGCCGTTGTTCTTGATCTGGGTTGTATTTTTCAATTTTTTTGGTTAGGTTTCAATCAAATGGGGTTTTTGATTTAGGGTTGTTTGATTTGTATACAAGTGAGTGCGAAGGGGGTTTTTTATTTGGTTTCAATCAAATGAGGGGTTTTATTTGATTCAATCAATTGGGTTTTTTATTTGGTTTCAATCAAAGGGGTTTTCCGAGCCTTCAGTCTATCCCCACTCATATCACCGAAATGGGGTATCCAAAACCAGACACCAAGCAGATTTTGACGCTCAACGAGAAGTAAGTGATGTCGCAGGAAATGGCATTAGAGGTGATTTATCGGAGAATTCTACGTCATGAGGTAGTAGATCGGAGCAACATTTGGAGCTTCTGGGCCGTTCGACCTTCGTTGAAGAACAGAGCTTTTGGGCTTTCAGGAGGGGTGGTGCGCTGGTGGTTATGGAGATTGGAGGAGACGAAGGCCCTGTGCGGTGGAAGAAGAAGGGGTGGGCCCTTTTTTATTTTGTTTTAATTTAATTTTGTATTTAAGTTTTTTATGACGTGGCAGATGACGTGTCCAATTTTTGGAGGGAGTGGGCTGATGTGTAATGAGGTCTACTACTGCCACGTCAGTTCATAACGGACTATAAAAAATGTAACGGATGTATTATATTAAAATAAAATAATACGTGAGGTATGAAAGTGAAATTTTTTGAAGATGTTATATGAAGTTGTAATAGATTTCAAACCTGAGATAATAGAGTGTAATTTACCCCAAAAAAATGAGAGAAAAATCTTGAGATTAATCCACAGTCAACAATCTGTAAAATTGATAATCCCTACAAAGGCTTCTTTGTCGATACCATATTTTCAATGGAAATTAAGTATTCTCACGACTGGTAGCCGTGGTACCACTATTTCCAAGAAAGAGAACGCTAGCAAAAATACTCGTACATACAATGTATACCAAGTCAAATTAAATATGGTAAATATCAAAAATATATATGATAATATTTGCTAATTTCTTGTATATTTATTAATCTTTAAAATGGAATATATAAGAGTCACAATTAATATTATATATGCACTTCGTTAATGTGAGACAACAAACTATTATTTATATTTTTAACTAATATATAACTCGCAACATGTATGTGATAAATTTTTAAGTTTAGCATTGATGTTGTTTTCAATTTAATTATATATTGTACGTGTGAGATTTTTTTCACAAATGATCTCAATGTACATTAGGTGTGACCTCTCACGTTGATCATTTTATAGACTCTGCATGGTTCGGGAATGAAGAAGAATTTTACATGATTGAATAATTAGTTTAGATTTTTCAAGATTAGTGTTAGTCACACTCTCTTTTTTACCTCTCACACACCATTGTTAACTTTGTCTATTGATCTTTTTCAAATCATTGAATCTAACAGCCGAAAATTGAGAGGGTATGTAAGAGGCCCTTGCTCAAAAAGTTGACGGTTTTTTTTGAGGGGCTAAAATGGTTAACGAATTGCCAATTGATACAACAGCCTAGTGGTATTCCCTTTCACTTGTAATTAAGAGGTCTTAGGTTTCATTCTCGCCAAAGACGAATTTGAACTACATTATTGCTAGTCCATTATGAATCTAAACTCATCTTCCTTTCCCTTGACATAAATAAGATCGTTTATTTAAAAAAATAAAATAAAATAACGCATTTGGCTTCAACTTAGACTTTTTAGTCCAATAAACTTTCATTCTCTGTACCACCTCAATAAGCTTTTCCACACTTAAAAGCTATCCTAAAAGAGAGACTTAGGTGAATTTATTCCATACTGTATATCTTGGATTGAGTTTTTACAACATCAAATATTGTTCGCTTTGGAGTATCCACCATCCAAATCAAATCACTGAAACACATCAAGAAGCAATGCCTAACCAAAGATTGTTCACTTTGATACCATTACACTTTGGATTAAAAACCTTCATATTCAAATCACTTAACCTATTGACTTCTTAATGGAAGAAAAGCATCTCAAATTCAAATCACTTAACCTACTGACTTATTAATGGAAGAAGAGCATCACATGATTTCTCAACTAAACATCAGCGGACAGCATCTGGCGGTGCTGGAACAAAATGTCTGTGTAATCCATTTCTGGTGGGTGAAGGTGGCTTTGGCAGGTTGTTTGGTCTCAGGCTGCGTCGGATGGGCAATATTATAGTAGTTGTCTTGCTAAACGTATTTTGACATCCAAAGCAACCTTCTTTTGTGACCTTTCTCGTGCCATCTTTATTGTCAACATGCGATATCAAACTATAATGGGGATCACCACCTTCAACAACACAACAAAATCACACCAAGCAAGCAAGAAACTAATTGTTACCAGATGATCCAGTCGAGAAAATAGCGAAGCATAAAAAGAAATAACCATGTGGAAGTGGAAGATAATATTATTTACCATGAGGAACTAATGCACAAGTTGCTCGGAGATCCGCCAAAAGAAGAAGCATTAGTGCTGCAATTACCACCAACTTTCCTGGGAAACCATTCTTCATCACTGGAAGCCAAAACGATAACCGAGAAAAGTCCATTGCGTAACGCAGGGAGAAGCAAAGATTTTAATAGACTTTGGATGGTTGGTTGGGATGAAGAAGAATTCCATGCTTTAATATTTTCAATAGTTGACGAATTTGTCTTTCACACTTGCAATGATATCCTAAAAGAGAACTGATCATGTGGAACCTTATTAGTCTTGGATTTGACTATTTACAAGTAGGATTTTTTTTTGATCTGTCATATGAACTTATACACTTTTTCAGCTTGTCATATGACCTAAACATTAAGTGATTTGTCATATCAACTTGCGAAATTATTATTTGTCATCTCACCTTAACTCTGTTAAGTGTGCAACCAAAACAATTCATGTGCAAGGTACATGACTTGTGTTCAAGGTTATTTCAGACATTTCAACATCTTACTCTCCTTGTAATAAATTGCCTTTGAGGAAAATAATTCTAGGATTTGAGGGTTTGAGGGTTTGCCATTCAAAAAGGGGAACAATCTGGAGTCACTTCTCTTGTGTTTCGAAGTGAAGATGACTAAAAAAATATAGTCATTACAAAGCCTCCAATCTATGGTGAGGTTAGACGATATTTTAATGTTGAAATGTTAGAAATAACCTTGAATACAAGTCATGTGCAAAGCATGTGACTTATTTTAGATGGAAAATTTGACGGAGTTAGGGTGAGATGACAAATTAATGATTTAAAAAAGTTGATATGACAAATCGCTTAAAAAATTTTTATATGACAAATTGAAATTGAAAAAAAAATGTATAAATTCATATGACATTTTAAAAATGTTCCCTTACAAATATTAAATTTTAATTTTTTTTTAGGGGCAGAATTAATCATGATATTAAATGACTCTCTGAAACTGTAAAAGTATCCAATCTTGATTTTAACAGAGTATATGAAAATCTCACAGAAATTTGAACGTATTCAATTAGAACTTGAAAGAATTTATAAAGTATATGTGTATTCAATTAGGAATTAGGCTCTGTTTGGAAACAAGTCCATAAAATGAGAAAAATATCTCTCAATGACTCCGTCGCTCTACATCTCAAAAAACTAGCAGGTGGCAGCTCTTCCCCTTCTCCTACTAGCTCTTCATCTCTTCCCCATCTCGCCCAGCCTTCCCTCCCCTTTGTCTCTCTTGGCTTGCTCTGATTTTTTTAGCACCTTCTCTCCTCTTCTGGTTCCTCCTCCACCATTTTGTGATCAGCCGTGTCCAGATCAAGGTCGTACCTATCTTAAGGTCTCTTCTTTGTTTTGGGTCTTGATTCGAGCTTAGGGGTGGATTTGTGGTTGTTCGTGGGCAAAGCCACCATTGTCAGCTTGATTTCATGGTGGTAATCCTGTCCTCGAGCCAATTTTGTTGCTACGCCACATTGTACTTTCAGAACTGGTAGTTTTGCCACCCTGTTCAACCAGATATGGCAGCAATGCCACCCGGGGCGACAATATTTGGCGGCTCAGCTGTCCTGTATGTTTGGTCACTGCAAATCTCTCCAAAAGTGATGACGATGCTGTTTTACATTCATTATAAAATGGGGCTGATGGTTGATTCGTTGTTTCTCGGTTTAGATTGGTTTCAGTTTAGTTTGGTGTAGTTGTTTATGCCGCTTAGCGAGTGAAGTGCTCTCACTTTTTGGTGATAACTTTTGTGTTTCTCAGTATTAGTTTATCTTGTCTGCCGCTATTGTGGTAGGTTGATACCGGTGGTTCCCAGTTGTTCTTGTTCATGTGGTGGCCATGTGGAGACTTTACCCTCTTTGTATCTTTTTACAAATTATTTCCACATCATTTTATTGATCACTTGATTAAAAATAAAAAATAAAAATAAAAATAAAAAAACTTTAAAAGTGAATGATTTTGAGAGATTTGAGAAATTTCGTAATGTATTTTTAATACATATTGGAGTGTATTTTTGCTCACCCCCACTAAAGCACTATGATCTCAACCCCCACCCCTAGTTGATTGTTATTAAAAGGTAATGTTAGAGAAACCAAATTTATAAATCAAATTTTGGAAACTATATAATGTAGATGTTGATGATTAAATTATTAAGTCTTGATTAACGTTCTTATTTTCTATTGATGACACATCATTTAGTTAGCAAATTTGATTCAAAAATTTGATCTTGCTAGCATTATCTATTGTTAAATTAGTTTGGTTTAATTACACTCGTCGAAGACTAAAGTCCACCTTTTCAAAGTCCAAACAGAAACAGAATTGCAGGTAATTCTTCTTCTACAAACCCCACTACTTCTAAGTCAAGTTTTTGATACTGTTATTCGCATTTATATGGGTGGCTAAATGCATTGCACAAGGACTCCATAGACTTTGACGAGGGAAAACAATTCTCTCCGGGTCTCTTTCACCTGAGCCTTATGACCCACAAATCCAGACTCTTGAAATTTGATCCAACGGTTATAAATAGGAGATCTCATTAAAGTTATAATAACTTTAGCCGTTAGATCAAATTTCAAGAATCCGAATTCATGGATCATGAGGCTAGATGAAAGAGATCCGGAGATGATCCATTTCCCTCATCGAAGTCTATGGAGTCCATGTGCAATACATTTAGCCACCTATATAAATGCGAATAACAGTATCAAAAACTTGACTTAGAAGTAGTGGGGTTTGCAGAAGAAGAATTAGCTGCAATTCTGTTTCTGTTTGGACTTTGAAAAGGTTGACTTTAGTCTTCCACCTTTGGATCATGGATTCTTTTCCCCCAATTAGGGGTTGGCCTAAAATCAATAATTTTTAGTCCAGAAAATTTAGGTTTTAACCTATAAACAGCTTTTCTGCTTCAACCCTTCTGGCCTAAAATTTTAGCCTCAAATTATTAAAGAATGAATTTAGACTATTTTTTTTTCTTAAAGTAACTTTTTAAAAATAAAAAATTATGTATCCTAATTTAATTTTATGAACATTTTAACCTAAAAATATTTAGATTCTGACAAATAATGAAAAAAAATCACTAACCGACACCATGAAACTCGTTAAACACTATGAAAAAATATGAAACAAATGAAAAAAAACAAATTAATTACTTTAGCCATTAGATTTAAATTTGGACCGTTAATTTTATCTTTTTTTTTAGTTTTACCGTTGAATTTCATCAAAGTAGATTTTAACCGTCGGATTCAATGAATTTATAAATATAAAATTAAATAAAATATACATATATGGTAGGCCGGCCCCACTAATCCTAGCCCTAAATTTGGCTTTCATTTGAGTTTTAGGTTTTAGGCCACATTTTAGCCTTGGGTTAGGTTGAGTTTTTGAGGGGAATAGAAGTGAAAATTTGAGTTTTAGCCCAAGGTTGGAGAAGGCCTTAGGGATGGGCAAAATACATGCAATTATCCGTCCATTTAAACTTCACAGTTACGGTTATAGATAACCATTTAGATAAATAAACGGTTATAGGTATAACCATTTACCCTTGAAATTTAAATGGGTAGTTATAGGTATTAACCGTTATTATAAACGGGTAACCATTTACCCATTTATTTTATATATGTAAAATTAACATTTAGGTTTATTATTATATAATGTAGCTAATTATATATATTATGTTAATACTTTACATTATGGGTTAAATAACCCAAGAATACTGTCTTCTAAACAGTTTTCGTAATCCAAGAACACTTAGCAAATATTATATCACCTTAATTGGTAACAGTTAAAAATATCGTCCGTAAACTATTATTTTAATTATTGGAATGGTATAAGAACTTAAAAAATTAAAATACGGAAATGTATGATGAATGTACCTATAACGGTGTTTAATTGTAATAAATATATATATATGACAATTTTTTTTTTAATTTTCAATTTTTTATTTTAATTTTCAATTTTTTAAAAAACATGTAGACGGATGAAAAAGGGGTAATGGTAAAAAATAAATAAAATGATAAACGGGTTAAAAATGGTAAATGGGTAAACAGGTATTAAACGGTTACGGTTAAATGGGCATGCAGTTATGAGTATGGTTAACCATTTATAAACGGTTATAGGTATGAGTATAACCGTTTAGGCAATTACCCAACGAGTAAACATTTATACAAGTATGAGCATAATCGCAGTTATCCGCCCGCCATAACCGTTGCCCATCCCTAACCCCAATATTTATTGTTCCCTATCGTACCCCTTAGTTTGATTCAATCACCAGAACGCAGGCCGATGTTCGAAGTCACGTACCAGCTTAAAAAAATAAAAAAATTGACCAATTTGGAAATAACATTGTTTTGCTAAGTTTCAATTTAAATGCATACGGAAAATAGAATGTGTTGGTACATTTCAGTTTAAACGTATCCGGAATGTGAGAAAAATGTGAGAAAACTCTTGAGATTAAACAACAGTGAAGAATCTAAAAAGTAACAATCCCTTATTTAGAGAAAGAAAAAAGCTACTGACATGAGAGAAGGCACACTAATTTAGAGTTTCTTTCGTCTGAACTTGTTTGGCATGTCGTTCATTTTATAGAGATTCTTCATTTTATGTATTAAGATTTCTTGAGCATGCCGGCCTACAGGTTTGTCTTTCCTTCTTGATATGTGATTTTCTTTTTTGACTTAATTTTTTGGATTTTCCTTTTTTGTTTTGCAGTTCATCTTGTAGGTTTTTACCTTTAAGGTTTTATCTTATAGGGGTTTGGTCCTATGTCCACCCCTATTTTTCTTGTAATTTTTTTTTTCAAAAAGAGATAAGGTGTATGTCCCCCCTCTCTTTTTATTTCAAGAGGGATAAGGTGTTTGTCCCCCCTCCCAGCCCCCTCTTTTCTTGTTTTTTTTTTTTCTTGCTTTATAGGGGGTAAGGTTTATGTTCCCCGACTAAATGTAACTTAGTTTTTCCATATCAAGTATTTTTGGTTTTTCTTGCTTTATAAGGGGTAAGGTTTATGACCCCTCAACTAGATGTAACTTTTTTTTTTATATCAATAAATTTCTCTTGTACCGTCAAGATTCTCAAAGAAAAAAAAAAAAAAAAAAAGAAAGGAGGCGGCACACAAAGTATATACCGAAAAATTAGTCGAACGCAATGAC